CATACCTTTGGTAACTGACTCATAGAACCGTTGACTTTTAAAGCTGTAAAAGATCAGAGACTGGCTCGTCCAACCTTCTTTCTTCATGACTAATTCTTTTCTTCTCATTCCTCACTCAGTATCTTTAGTTCAGATGCTCATCATTTCTTCCTATCTCCTCTTCATCAGCCTCCCTGCTGCTGCCTCAGCTGCCCATGGTCTAGCCACTTCCTAAGTGTCAGAGCTGCCTTCTTTACCACTTTGACCACACCTCTTTGCTTATGTGTTGGTGACTTTTCAACATCAATGTTGCAAAAATCTCCTCATCTCAAGCTTCAGAGCACTCCTAGAAAGATCATCAGATTTCTCTTTTCTCTTTCATCCTCCCATCACTTGCCTGTCATCCCAATTTCCTCAGAGTTCCTCTCATAATAAAGCTCTTACATTGGTTCTGGGCTTTTCCCAAAGCACCATTTTGCAAATGGGAATTACTTTGTCTCTCAGCTACTTATGCAGTTTCTTTTCTATTCGTTCAGAAACCCCCTTCCTGCAGTACAATCTTCTCAGATAACTCAGTCCTTCTTATTTTGAACCCTCCTTGAATATTTTTGCTTCTCTTTTTTTCATGCTTCCAAGTTGTAGTTCCTTTTTAATACACCCATTCAGTGCCTTCATTTTATTGAATGAAATTCCTGGACTTCACTGAATATGTGTATCAGATTGTAGTTTTGTGTACTTTAGGTTTATTATATTGTCTCTGTCATATGTTCCAGTTAGTCATTGCTGAGTAACTACCGCAAGGCTTAGTGGCTCAAAACAGCAACCATTTTATTATATCTTACGAATTCCAACAGACAAGAATTGAGAAAAGCTCAGCTAGGTGATTCTTTTCCACATAGTGGTAACTAGAATCATTTTTTGGTGTCTATTCGGTGGATGGGTAGGTTTTGAGGGGCCAAGATAGCACTTTATACATGTGTCAAGCATCAGGAATGGCTAAGATGTTGGGCTCAGTTGCGATTGTTGACCAGAGAGTTTATATGTGGCTTCACCCTGGCAGTCTTAGGGTAGTCAGATCTTTTCTGTGGCAGTCAGGCTCCTGAAGAGTGTTCCAAGAGGTTCAAGTATAAATGGCAACATTTCTTAGCACTGCACTGAAATTTCCAAAACATCAACTTCGCAGCCTCTGTTGGTTAAGCAAATCATTAAGACTACCTTAGAATAAAGGTGGGGGAAATTAGATTCAACCTCTTGATGAGAAATATAGCACAGAATTTGCAGCTATCATATGTGTGTGTGTATTTGATAAACGATTCTTAATTACCATAATGATTTTCTGATTTTAGTAAACAATACTTAAAATGTAGAAATTGTATTGATTGTACATAAAATGCATGTTAAGTCAATAATACATTCAAACTTGAAAAAACATGTCCATACTTTACTACCCTCCTATAACATGTTCAGCAACTTCTTTCTTTCTTTCTTTCTTTCTTTCTTATTTATTTGCTAGAGAAATTAAAATCTTCCTAGGAACAATGTAAATTTCATTTTTTATATCCCTAGCAACTGTTTCAGAGCTTGGTACATGGTAACCTCTCAATAGAGGTTTGTTGAATTGAATTGAATTAGCCCTGGATTTTGATGCTGACATGGGCAACTTATTGACTTCTCTGAATTTGTTGTAAAGGAGGATGAAATGAATCAAGAAAATCCTGCCTGGTCAAGAGTAAATCCAACAGGAGGTGCTGGTATATATGCCAATTAATACAGTTCCAGGAAACACAAGTGATGGTATAAGTACCTCTCCTCCATCTTCCTTCATGCAATTGAATGTTCAAAAGATCATTTATTTAGCATATCTCTGCCCAAATTACTGCATGAGCTCAATAGCACACATTTTGGGTCACCTTTGAGTTATACAATAAGCTTTGGTTATTTTGTAGAAAAGGGAGGGGGCAAATGAAATGATTCTATGATGCTTCTTTCTCATTAGAGAAAAACCAAGCCAATAAGAGTCAATTGTAAGAATCAAATATCTTTTTTCAATTCACAGTTTTTAGTGTAACAAAGTAAATTAAAACATCCTTTTAATCTTGGATGGAATTTGCTCCTTTAAGTTGTGATCTTGTGAATCTCTGTTAATTTCAAATTTTAAGAATTCTTGGCTGATGAAACTGTTATATAAGCAGAGGCACCATTGTTCATTGTGTAATGTGAGAATCAGATGCTCTGCTGTAATTCTCTTGTCATGTCACTGACAGAGAGTTCCAGAATTTTTTTTTTTTTGGAAAGATGGGTATATTTTGTAATTTGTTTTAATCCTAAAATAATTTTATGAGTGTTGTTCTCAAATTAGTTACTACTTTATTTCTATTTTTTTCTGCATGTAATAGAATAAAATCACCTCTTGCTTCTGTTTGTCTCTGCTAGTAGGATAATGTGTTTAAAAATTCTTTTCAACAGTCATTAGGATTTTACATCATCTTTTCTTATTTTACTAATATTCGTTGACAATGCTTGGTTAAGGCCAATTTAGAGAACTAAACTATAAAAATATCGCTATATATTAACATGACATGCTTCCCAAAGACCGTTCTGTTCCTATTTGCAGACTTAAAAATTAAAGCACGAGATGCTAGAATAATTCACCAAATGACCAAGGTCATTTAAGACAATAGCAGACCTAGAAAGATTATTACTATTTCATGATCATTCTGTCCTTTTCTAGATCTTTCTAGTTCTGTTGTCCACCTTTAAATACCTTTTATAAAATATTATTGGACTAAATAGGCTTTTACATTTAATATGTTAAGTTTATAGACTATGGTCTTTCCATGGGAGACTTATTATTTTGCCAGTATTTGTTTTAATTGCTAGTTATTTCTATATTCCTTGTGTTTGATTATTTATTCTCCTTATTGTAAATTATTTATTCACATGCATTCATTCAAACTTCACATACATGTAGTTTTTATTTCCAATTTCACACCCCGTGCCCTCCCTCTCCTAAGAATTTGGAAGTAATTTAGTTTTCTGCTGATTCTTTCCTTCCATTTGGCAACCATTTTATTTCACTGTTTTTGAAGTGATGCAGTAAAGGAAAAATGGCTGCCTTTTGTTTATTTCCTTGTACATTAACATGATGACATCATCAAAGATATTAGCTAGAATGTACATATCTTTAAAAACCTAGAAGCACATCATAATATAAGAGCACCATTTCCCTTTTTCTTTTAATGCCCCCAAGGTTTTGTGGCTTTAGCGTAGCTCTTGTGTGCAGAGGAAAAAATGAACATGAGCATTTTGGAACAAATACATTAAAATGGTGGCACTTAAAACATAGCTAAGCAGTTTTCAATGTTAAGAAAGGCCCACCAAAAGGCATTTACTTACGTCACAAAACATTCTAAATCAGTGTTAACCCAACAAACAAATATTGTAAAGAACGATGTTAGGTCACTGTATACATGGACTGGGCTATTTAGCTACACTTGCCTAGTCTGGCTTAAAATTATTTTTAAAAAATTTCAGTTGACAACAAAAATTTTAAGTGGGAGTTGGTTCCAGAAAATAATTTCTTATTAATGGAAGGCTTAAGCAGGTATATACGTTTACTCATTTTAAGATTACTGTATTATTTACAAACACTATTAAAATGCACTGTACGTCTAACTATACAGAGAATTTATTTTCTGGTCTTCATTTATGGTGCTTCTATCCTTTCCTTCTGTGCTCTTTGTTGCACTTTGCATGTATCTGTCATAAAATTTCAACTGAGATTAGCAAGCAACAAGCTTTCAATTACCAATTCAATGTAGATAGATTATTAAAGAGATAAGAAATTGATTTTTTCATCAACTTCCAATAACTAAATAGCTTTTTCATTTGGAAATCCACAATCCATTTTTGAATGGGAGGAAATAATTTTAAGCAATTACTTAATTATTAAAAAAAAGCATTTTTAGATAATCTGCCTATACATGTGTACATACATACGTATGCATGTGTGTACACACACACATGTACATATGCACATATGTGTGTGTATATATTAATTCAATATCTATAGAGCAGAAAATTCCTGTGAATGTTAAATAGTCAGCTCTGAAACTACTTGTTAACACTGAAATCAGATAAGGTAAACCATATGCTTTATTGAGGTTAGCTGTCTAGAATAAGTTACTGCGATTTTAAGAATTAATATGAACCACATGTCCTTTAGATCTTTAAATTGAAATCTTCATTGTTCTTTTAAGTCAGCTGTTCTAGGAATGTGTCATCTTTTGAGAAGATAAATTAATCACCTACCTCATTTATATACATCAATAAGAGACTCGCCCTCTTATCTACTTTATCAAAAGTAATTAGAATAACTCTATTTTTATTCATATGTAGTATTTCTCAGTGATTGAAATTTTCATTGAGATTTTCAGAGAAACAGCCACTTGTCCTTTTAGAGAATAACCTCCTCTAAGAAAAAGAAACACCAGCAATCTAAAGGTTAAAAACATACCGTCAAATCATTCAGTTGAGCAAGGCTCTTTAATAACATTTGTACAAAAGTACTTGCAGAAAGCAGAAGGTAGAAAACCGCTTTTTGCTAGTTCCCTTTCCTTAAATTATTATTCAGCCTCTTATTAAAATAAAATCTAGTTAACTTCTTTTGAATGCCTGTTCAAACGTTTTCCATAATAATAATAATAAAAAAATCTTGTGAAAGGATTTCCATAAGTCGGGCTGCATTAATGACTTAGAGCAGCTTCATAATCTGTTATTCCTTCCTCCTAGCAGACCTCAGCTGATAAAAATATCCATAGACACAGTGAAGTCAGTGGCATGCCTGGCTTTCTCAGACAAAACTCCCATGTGATCACATATAGGCAGCCTCAGTGAGGCTGATGCCGTGCAGCAAGCAGTAGGTAATGAGTCTTTGTGCAGAGTGAAGCTCTTGTCGCTGAACAATAAAGCATACGGTACCAGCAATAAAACACAGGGCTGGCAAATTTAAGAAGATTCCGCTGAACCAGGAAGAACAGTGCCTTCGGTGATGCTGACACATATTATAAAATGATAATCAATTTATTTTGGATTCTAATGAATAAAGAGTGCAAGGACTAAGACTACAGCTATTTGAACAGGTCAGTGATTTTATAAATTACTCCAACACTTCCTTGTGTTTGATTGGATTTAAATGAGGATGGGCTAATATGTGTTTTCCCTTAAACAAAAACTTTGCAAGATATTCGCAGTGTGTAATATGAAGGATGCACTTGAATTGACCCAATGTGATTAAATTGTTGCTGTAGTCAGATGTGATAGAGAAATGTTTGTTTGAATTAGTAAACTGGAAAGTTATTTATCCTATTTAAAAATTTATGGGTAAGAAAAAATTCATCCAGTGATTTCTAAGCTTCTCTATATGCAGAAATAATAGAAGTCAGAATACTACTAATAAATAGCTCAAATAAAAAGCTCCAGATTTATTTTTCCAGTGTTAAAAAATCCTGTATTGCAATAGTTTACATGTCCTATAAATTGATGATATATCATTCGGATTTTATTGATGTCTTTCCATATACAGCAAGAGGAAGGTTTGGCATATTTAATGATTTAAATGAAAAATTTCTAAGTAAGAAAATTTTGAAACGTTAATCATGCTACTATTAGAACAATGCATTTTATATTTAACTACCGTAATATATACCTATATTAATTTGTTGTGTGCCTTTTATTTTTCATCTTATGTTTCTTTTGATAGGTGGAAAATAAATACTTCCTAAAACCTTTTATTTTATAGATATCATTCCCTCACTAATGGAGAAAAATAAATTAGCTTAATTTTCAAAAGAAGAATGGATTAATTTTGTGATGATGCATATTTCCATCGACTCACCATTTAGAAAAGAATGTGTGCCTTCATGTCTATGTAGAAAAATATGTACACACATGACCTTCTGTATCTAGAAAATGACCACTTCTTAGGTTTATGAGCAATAGAGAAGTTTATGTTTTAAATAGAGAGATTGCTGTGTGTAGGAAGACAAGGGAAGAAATAACTCTAGCAAATAATAGCACAACACTGAACATCTTTGCCAAAGACAGGCAAGCATTACTGCTACATGGATCTTTAAATTTCAATGCACAGTTTAACTTTGCTCTACATTTTGACTGCTGTATTGTTTGAAGGCATCTTGGGACCTAAATTCTTAACAATTAATGTCTTGGACACCATTTAGGAGACGATCGTCTTTAAAACACGAGGGCACATTTAACATTTTATAGAATTACTATCGTGACTTCCTATATTTGCATAGTAACTAAAACACATCTATGCTGGAAAAATGCTGTTTAAACCACCACCACGACAACACAAAATACCCTCTGTCCCTGATTATGCATGCAATATGTACGCCAGTGGGAAAGAAAATAGCTAGGTCTCAAAAACAAGGGAAGTTAATGAAATTTTTAAATTGGTTTTCCACATGTATTTAAATGAAGTATTTGACTATTTGGGTTTCCTTGGTTACCAGAGTTGCTGCTGACAGCTTCTTTTGGTGGGGAGGTGGGGGGGGGGTGATGCAGGACTCTAAAACAAAGAGTTAAAAACACTTATCCATTAATAGACCCGGGGTCTGGCTGCTGGCAGCCCAGGGAAGCCGGTGCCCACTCCCCATGGCCTGCTGCCCCCCTCGGGTGATTCAGGTATTGGGGCCCGACTGCAGTTCCAGGCTCCCTTACCCAGCATTCCGTTTCAGCTGCTGGAGGGCTGCCTGAACCTTATGCAAATGAGACCAGCTCCTGAAGCTTTGACTGCAGAAGCGAGGGGGGTTGAGGGGGGCAAGAAGGGAGTTCAAAGGTCACAGGGCTGGTGGAAGGCTGGAGCAGTTGCCTGGAAAAAAAAAATGCACTGAGCTTCTCTGCAGCAGTGTTTTTGCAGCAGTTAAATGAAGTGTGCTTTATTTCTCAGAGTGAAGATTTTACAGCGTGTGGGCCATAGTGGTTGAAAGTGCACGCAGGTACGGTGACAGATCTCATGATGCGCTGACTCTGTCCCTGGGAAAGGCCTGGAGGAGGACTGGCTATTTTAATTCATGGTGGAAATGGGCAGGGTGTTCTCAGCTCTCAGCTTCCCTTAACTAGTTTATTAAAGCTTCTTATTGTTTTGTTTTGCTTTCAGTTTGAAACATGGGTGTTTTGTTCCAAAGGCATAATTTCATGTTAGGATGAAATTGAAATTGGGGGGCCTCTAAATCATCCTATTTTTTGGAAAGTTTCTCATGGCACAGAGAAGCCTGGGTTGAGACATCTAGATAAATAAGTATCAAGACTTGCAACTTTTACAGGATTTTCCACATTTTTAAGGACTGTATTTTAAATTAGAACTGGGTTCACAGCCTAAGACTCTTGTGAGGTATCTGGAATAAAATAATGGAATTCTTTTGTTCATATCCCACAAGACCTCATAAGGACAGTTTTAATAAGTTGTATTTTCATTTCATTTTAAGAGAGGGTTTCAGTTTTGATAGTGTTCATTCTATATTTTATTGCTAAGCACTGTATCAAAGAAAGGATTTATTATTTGGGGGTTAGATTTTTTTAAATGCTTCTTTAATTTTTCCAGTTGTTACTAATTTTCTTTGGGATTTCTTTAGACAATGCCATTTTGAACTCCACATGTTCAACTTCCTATGACTTTTCCCTTCAGTTAAGTCTGGATTGTAGAGTGATTCTCATAAATGTCACAGGCAGGGCAGAAGTCTTCCTTTTCCATGCACAAAATATCACACTTTGGTAAAATGTGTGATTACATCATAGTAAAGTCTGACCTGTACCAAACAAACGTGTATTCACTTTTATTGTTCATATTGCTTTATTTCCAAAACATATTTTTAAATAAACTTAATTAAAGCAGCATGATCAGACTACGTTTATCCATATCATTAAAAATTTTAAATGTATCAATTCAGCAGTTAAAATGTTGATGGGGAAAAAATGTCTAATTTGCATCAAGTGTGCATCTGTCTATATTACAGGTTGTATGTGTATGAAAATTTATGTTGGAAAGATGAAGAGACAAAATAATGTTTAGTCATGAAATTACTGCTTTATGCTTTTTTATTTGCATAAGATCTTAAAATGAATTCTATGAAGCTTACATACAAAGAGCTAATACATATTTAGATAAACTTAATTACTTTCTTTGCACTGAAAAGAGGGCATTAATTTTATTATAATGATTAAGACTTGGTAGTTTGGCAACAATATCTTTTATTTAAAAATGGGGAGGTGGGGTGGGTAGAGGATGGAGCAAAACAAGAGGCTAGCCGTTTAAAACAGTGAAGGACAGTTATTTCAAATATTTATGAAATCCCTTTGTGGTAGTCGTTTAGGGCCAGATTCTTAACCTTTATCACTTCGTGGGGACATTATGACATTTATCCCAGATCCTGAGATCAATTTGGGAAAAGGAATTCATGTCTTGTGTGAGTTTTTTAAAAATGCAAAAACTGCCCTTTTCTTCTAAACTCTCTTTTGAAACTTTCAATAATGACTGCAGCTAAAGGGGTATATTTTAAATAATTTCCTTCTTGTGTGTGTTGAATATATGCTGTCTTTTGGTCCAAACACCATATTTGTAGACTTTTGTTTTACGTATATATAAATGTGTGTGTATGTATGTGTATGTGTATATGTGTGTGTGTGTATAAATATGTATAGATACATTTTACATATGTTAATATTACAATATATATGATATATATTATATATATATGCAACCAAATAAAATCTTTCTTGTGGTCAATCATTTTTAATTGAACAATTTTGAAACACAAGAATTTTTTATTTTACTTCTACCTCAGGTCATGCCCATAGTTTGGGTCTACTAACCTCTGTGTGTGTTCTAAGCAGAGCGCAGTGATGAGGAAAGAGCCCAATTTAAAATTCATTTAGGCAATCCAATGCTGTTAACTTTTAAATGCAATCACTACCACTTAGCACATTCTGAATATAGAAATAAAAACACTACAGGCCAAAAAGGAGACTCTGTGAAGGTTCTTGGAGAAAACTTGGTAATAGACAAATGTGAAATAAAGAGAATTGTGCTTCCGTAAGCCACAAGAGAGCTATATATGTCCTGCAGCAAATTTATGGCTTTGAATATCCTGGATAATTTATGTCTCTATGCAAATTCAGTCAAAACTTTGAAGTCTTTTTTGCATTAGCTTGAGCCACACTACTTCCATACAAATCTCAGCAGCATGTACATAGTAGGTTCACGGGCTGGATATTTAAATGTATATAGAAAAATGTATTTGTGTAAGTGCAGTTCTAATCAAATTTGTGAAGTAAAAGAGTAATATAAAAACAAATCATTGAAGGATATGCAGTTAGTGTACTTGAAGAAAGAGTGTTATATCAGATTTCAAAGGAATCTTTAATGATTTTTCAAAAATTAATTTCCTGCTTTCTGATTACCAGTCTGTCTTTGTCATCACTCAAAACTAGAGACCATATTGTAAGCTTGGAAAGGATTTTAGGGCAAATATGTTTTACTCAGTCTAGCAGTATGGAACATCGTCTAAAATCTACAAATAACTGTTGTTATCTTAAAATCACATGTGTAGGTTTTACGTTGTATTATCACTATATATGTCATTCTCTGAGCTTCTGGTGCCTATAAAATAGAAATGAGAGCAAAATGACTTATAATGTATAAAAGGAAAATGCTCAAAATAATTGAGTATTCAAAACAATCGCATTTTTTCTTTCTTTTAACCTGGCATTTCTTAGGAAACCATCAAAATAAATGGTTGCATTTTTAGTCACCTATTCTAGAATTTAAATAGAATTGTATTATTTTTATTGAAAAGTACAATAAGATTATAGTTTTTTAAAGACTTACATTTATTCCATATTATTAGACATGTGGCAGTGCTATAGTAATACTTTGTCTAGGACAGTTGGGAAAGAATCTGCACTAAATAAACCAATTTTCCAAATAGGTGAAGTTTGTAACTTTAATGGCCAGCTTTTTAAAATCTTAATTACTTTCATGGAAGCAAAATATAGAACTCTCATTCTGCTTCATTGAGCAAGTGGAAATCAGTTTAGGCTTTTCTTCATGGCATAAGAATCA